AGTGTGGGTACTCCCACGTGGTCTCGCACGTCTGGGCAGCGAAGAAGAGTCCGACAAATGACCCGCTAGAGTCTCGCGCTCTCTCTCGTGGAGGTCCTCCTGCCGACAGTGGCACGAACGAGCCATCGCATGGCCTGCGCCTTTAGCTTCTCTCATAACCCACCACTCCTGCTGCCTCCCCGTTTATCCCAGCTGCTGCTGCTGCGTCCGCTAATGCCGTCTTCGCTTTATGCGGACGACTGGAGCGAGTAGAGAGAGAGAGAGTTTAAACGATTGTGTGTGGCGTCGACAAATACGTGCTTTGTTTCAGATGCCGTGCGCCGATAAAGCCGTTGCGTGCCAACGTGCCGCTGCGAAACCGGAGCAGTATTGATCCGTGTCGTCTGCCTCTTGTGTACGGTAATTGCCCCTTCGTGCCTGTGCCATCCCAACAGAAATGCGTTCGTCTTGTATAAGTGTTCGTTTAAAAGATGCACTATTCGAAATGTCAATCTCCGGCAATGAGCGCTTGTGTGCCTTTATATCCAGATGCCTTGGTTGTGGCCTTGCATGTCAGAAGTTCTACTAGAGTTTTAAAAATAGTATAGTTTTTCTCGACACGACATCGTAACCACACGGGATAATGGTGTGAGGTGGAAAATCGGAGTAAAGTCTGTGAATGCCATAAACACACAAGAGCCATTGAGAGCAACTGTATGTTCTATTATGGGCACATTTTAAATAAATTCTGCCTACACAGACAGATGCCTGTGTTGTTTGTGACATTGCGTGTGTGTTTTACTGTCGCTCATCTCATGCAGTTCACCCTTATCAATGTGTGTCCCGTAACCTGTCAGCGAGCCTCCGACGCTTAACGTGGCCTCAAAGGGAACCTAGCCTGGCACAAGTACCGTGGTGGTGTTGCCACCACTTGTTGGCGAATGGTGGCTATTGCATGCTTTGCGGTTCTGTGCTAATATAATCATCAGCCATGATCTATCCACTGCTGAACAAAGACCTCTCACAGCCCTCTTCATCTCTTATGGTTTTGTTATGCAACAATCAGTCTGGTGCCTTCATACTAAACTAAAAACTAAACATTACTAAACTACTGTATTTTTATTTTAGCAGGTAAGGCCCACTGAGCTATTAGCTATTTTGCAGAAGCGGCCTGGCCACAAACGATAGCTCAACGAAGCGTCTCGTGAAAATGTATAGCAGCAGCAACACTTCAAATGCGTGTTTCTCAATGCGGAGGGAAACACCGGGGGAGCTGGAGAAAAATCTACGTGACCATAGTGAATATGCAAACTTCAAATACTATATACAGGCGGTCGGGTTCGAACCCACAACCTCCTGTATACCAGGCGAGGTCGTTAACATCGAGCCACCGCGGCTCCATAAACCAGCATGTCCTGGCTACATCTCGAAGACCTACAGTACCTGGCAAGCCCGAGTGATGGTGGTTACCCGTTCAAATGCTAACCAATGCTCAAGCCTGCTTATTATGTGCATCACACAATGCTGTACTGGAAAACAACAAAAAACTATTCTGTAATCAGTAAATGCTTGCAAGGCTATCTTAATTGTATTTGTTTAAGCAACACATCGGTGATGTATAATACAGGTTTTTTTTGGGTTAGATCACGTAAATATAAATGTGTCGTTAAACTCTCCACCATCAAGTTTTGTCACGTACACAACATGCCATCTGTGATGTTTTTATGATGTTTTCAGGGCATTGTGTAGCGATCACGCCAAGGACCAGTGTTTCCCCAGCCAGTGACTTTGTCGTCAGATTATGGAGACTTAGCTTTATATCGTGACGAGATGTTCTAGAATTGACGAGATTTTGTCGAAGTGACGAGATTTTGTCGAAGTGACTAGCAACACGCATCTGGGTCCGAGGACGGGATTGCAGATTCTGGGGACTGTCCTTGGAATTTAGTGAGGACACTGCATCAATTGAACACACATGCGTGTACGTTGGGACTTCTTTCGCACCATACGTAACCAATCGTGCTAATCGGAGGTGCGCGGGGTCAAGGGTCGCGAACGAAAATCGGTTCTAAAGAAACGCGTTGCTCCGCTTCAAAGTGGCACTTGCGGTTAAGTTGTCTGGGAGACATTTGAACCTTGTATGGCGGTACCTCGGGGTACCTATAGTACCCCCGCCTCTCGCATAATGTCCGTGATGCAGTCATTACACACTTTCATTTAATTCAGTTGTATCAAATCTTGTAACTAAATTTTTACCCACTTCCCAATGTGGTATCGACTGCAAACTTGGTATACTTATGTCATACTGATGACAATACTATATTCTATCATTAAAAATGTATATTTTTAAATATTCTTTTGTATATGTTATGTTTCAGCTTGGGTCTAATTGTCCACGGTCAACTGACGTTGGCTGTAATTGCCCACGGCCCCCTTCCGTTATGGCAAGCTTCGGGCCAATTCCTGGAGTCGTGGAGTTCTTCCATTGCTAGTACATTTTATAAAAGCGTGTTTTTGAAAAAGTGTTTTTTAATATTATTTTTAGTCTGTTGATGGTCGGCGATGTGGCAATCGACTCATCTCGACGAGCTGTGCACCACGCTGCACCACCACGGTGCCACGTGCGAGCGTTCAGGGTATCGGCGCAATCCTCGCTGCGTTTCGACATCGCAGAGTGTGGCACTGATGTCGGATTGATTTGTGCCCCAGTCGCGGAGTGAAGTACACCCCTGGAAAAAATAGTGTCCCAGAAACAAAATATTTAATTGCCTCGGCCCATTTTGTATTATTTGGTTAACCCGGGGTACCGCCATCAGGATCACTTGTGACTGGAGAAGGTCCATCTTGCGACACCTAGCGACGCGCTGGGCAAATTGCACTATGTTACACGGTTTTTGTTCCTGGGTTGTGTTATTTTTTACTTGCTTCTGCCTTAAAAGTATAGAAAATTTCTATTATTCCCCACAAACTTTGCTTTTGTGACCAGGACTTTATGTGAACGAAAGACACACATGCACACGTTTTCTCATTGAAAATAGTTAATTTTCAAAATATCACTGTCCAGGTCACAAAAGCAAAGTTTGTGGGGAATAATAGTCATTTTTCTGTACTTTTTAGGCATAAGCAATTAGGAACTAACCCTTACTACCCAGCAACAAATGTTTGTTGTTACACAGTGTTGTTTGGTGTTGTTGCTGCTGCTGCGCTCTCAGTAGTTGCCAAGAACTTCACGAGTTTCTTGCCAGCAGCTGCAGCTGCTGCTGCCACCGCCACCATCCTAGAATCTCAACCAGAGGTCGCAAACGGGGTTTGATTCCTTACCCGTACCCGGCCGCACCAGGGTCGCAAACGGGTACCCGTACCCGGCCGTACCCGTACGGGTATCGGGTACCTGATTGTGACCTCTGGGATGAAGCCATGTTGCAGGCGCGGGTGGTTTGATTCTAGGAACTTGAATTGTGAGAAGAGACAAGACGTTGGGAAATGAGTGACAAACAGTTACTCACCAGTGACTCACGGTCTACCCGTACCCGTACCCGGCCGGGTACGGGTAGCCGGATATCGGGTAGGGTACGGGTATCGGGTACCCGGTTGCGACCTCTGATCTCAACCACCCAGATCCGGAGGAGCTCTGCTGGCGAGCACCTTCGATTCCCACTGTTGGTCACGTACGGTGCGAAAGAAGTTCAGCATATACGTACGCGTGGGTCAACGTGGATGTCCGGAATAAACACCTCCTCGTTGGGGACCCAAACATGATCGCACCCATAGATTTGAAGCTTTCGTGACTGCAAGGATTCATACTCTTAGGTTTTTTCGGTAAAGTCACATAGGTGAAAAATAAAAATAAATAAAAATAAAAAATAAATAAAATAATAAATCCGAAACGTCGTGATTTATTATTTTATTTCTACTATTATTAATATATATATTTTTTTACCTACCTAAGAGTATGATCGCACCCAGCCCATGACTTTGCCGAACCGCATCAGAACATCGCCAGACCACCTCCGTAGTGATGTGGTGGCCATGCAACCCAAGCGAATGGTCAACCCACCGTGGCCTGCGCGCCTTCAACTTGGGAGGAGTAAGAGCGAAACGACACGAACTCTTTAACTCCTGAAGCCCTCTCTCGGGGTGGCCAGCAGACTTCAACACAGCTGCTAGACGTATTACTACATACGTGAATAGAAGCATTCTTACCTGTCAACCCATTATCAGTGCCTAACTTATTGCAGATCAACTCGGACCATATTGGTGACCCCGTGACCTTGTAAAATCTCAAAGTTCATCCTTAAAAGTCCCATCACAAGTGAGAAACACAAATAAATAGACAAACAGCATGATTTTGTGCCCGTATTGAAACGGCTGTACTCTGCATGGACCTGAAAACTCAATTTTCGTCAACACTGTGGCCTTAAAACGAAATGTGTGTGACAATCGACGTTTCGGGCAATGATCCTTTAAAGTACAAATATATGTATATTTTTTTGGGGGGGGGAGGGGGGTCCTTATCCGCATCCTGATTGGGAAATATAACAACTCTCCTGCTCGTATACGTATCCACACTAGTAAATCTTAATGAGCCGCGTTGCGCATCCAAACTGAGAAATGCAACACGGCTCCGACGCTCCGTTGCGCATCAAGACTGGGAAATACAACACGGCGCTCCGTTGCGCATCAAGACTGGGAAATGCAACACGGCTCCGACGCGCCGTTGCGCATCAAGACTGGGAAATACAACCCGGCTCCGACCCTCCGTTGCGCATCAAGACTGGGAAATGCAACAACATCACCGACCCTCCGTTGCGCATCAAGACTGGGAAATACAACCCGGCTCCGACCCTCCGATGCGCATCAAGACTGGCAAATACAACAACATCGCCGACCCTCCCTTGCGCATCAAGACTGGAAAATACAACAACATCGTCAGACGCTCCGTTGCGCCGCATCCAGTATAGAAAATCTAAAGCCCCGCCGCCGCTCACGCGCCCATCCGGACTGTGAAATGTAATCGGTGTCACCTCCAGCCCCTGCCGCCGGAGCCCGGGAAACCCCTGCGCAGGGCCCGGGCCCCCGTCCGCAACAATGAGCGATACGAGACGGCGGGTGAAGTTGTACGCGCTCAACGAGGACCGCCAGTGGGACGACCGGGGCACTGGCCACGTCTCGTCGTCCTACGTCGAGAAGCTCAAGGGCATGTCGTTGCTCGTGCGCGCCGAGTCGGACGGTGAGCTCGATTGAGGAGTAAGCCCGAGACGAGGGGAGGGGGGGGAGTAGGCCGAAGCCTCGTGTTGGCCTAAATGCTCTGCGGGGTTTTGAGCGAGGAGGGCCGGCTGGCTGGGCAGGCCTTGAAACTCTCCCCCCCCCCCCTTTCCTCCTCAGTCTGTTTGCTCTCCTCTTACGTTTATATTTAACTGCGCGATAAAATTATAATAACGGTTGTCGTAGCGATGGTTGAAAAGATGTGTAGATTGTAGGGGCGCTTATTTGTTTATTTTAAAAGCTCGGAGTGTCGTGTGCGTGGTGTTGATGGCCGTGACGTTTGTAGTGGCATCTCGTGCGCACGGTGTGATGGTGAATTACAGCGTATATAAAACACACACACACACACAACAATCCTACTGCTTGTGTCGAGACCCTCACGAGCATGAAATCACCACGCACACCAGAAGTAAACAGTCTGGATGTATAATCGGTGTGAGATGTACAACGTATAGGCACCCCGGAAGCTGAGCATGTATATCTATCGCGAGCGTTAAGTTGAGCAGTTGCCTCAAAAGCCCTTCGGCAAGTTGCGATAGATGACGAATCTCGGCGGACTCTCCTCACCTGGGGTTAAACGGAAGGGAGCGAGCTTTGTTTTGAAGAACCGCTTGGCGGTGTACGCGTGAGCCCAGCGTGCGAGCGACGGAGTAAACAACACGAGTTCGTTTGCAGATAAAATAACAGACAGTACGGGTACCGTACTGTCTACCACCACCACCACCACGTGGCTTACCACAACTGCTGTAACTGTACAGTGATAAATAAGCAGCAGCTAAAGATCCGTGTTAGCGTCAAAATATAATAAATACAACGTTTGGGTTCGTCAACCTTTGGGCCTTCTGGACCAGTATTTTTCAGCAGCTTTTGTTGAAACAGGGAAACTGTCCGCACCAGTGTTGATTATACGAGTCCTATCAGTAGAGTGACCTGTTAAACAGATGTCCCGTATCGCTAATATACATACTACTTGTTGGTGCTAAGATAGGCTTCTAGTTAAGGTAAAGATCTATAAAGCCATTTGATTTGTGAGTAACTTTAAATGTAATCTGGTAGATATGTATCCCTTAAGCCTGCTGAAAGTTTTGGGACGTTCAAACTTTGATATCAGAATACTTCGTGTAAATGATTGAACCCTTGCGATCTGTATGTCAAGAGGCTAGCACAATTATTGTAACCGGTCCACTTGAGGATTTCAGATGCCTTGTAGTGCCTAACAGTGTTAATTTTGTGTTGCAGGGTCTGTGCTACTGGAATCGAAAATTAAGCCAAACACGGCTTATCAAAAGCAGCAGGTATGCAGATCACAACCTTAGAAAGATGTTGGAATTTTGTCCACCCTGGAGTCATATCTACATGCTTGATTAATAATAACATACAGCTTATTGGCAATCCACCGTTAGATAAAGCCCTCCTCACGTCGTTTGAGTCATGGGGATTGTTTGGTCATTCCTGGCAATGCTGGTTAGTGCAGTATGGTTGAGGGCTGCCCAGGAAAATATCACTGAAGTTAACCATGGTTGAGGTTAAAACTTAGATCGCAAGGTTCATAGTTAAGTTTTCCAACCAATGTGCTACGGATTCCAGCCCTGCATTAATAATTAAAATGTAAGCAACCTTATTCCACGAAAAAAACATTTTTGTTGTTGTTGGATTGTAACGTCAAATAAAAAGAAATTAATTGGTGTGGAGCTGTTGAACATGCTTTCTGAAGTTTTGTGAAATGTATGTACATCGAATACATTAAGCGTACCTTGTTTTGTGAAATGTATGGTTTGATGGTCTTTTTGTTTACCCTACTAGGACACACTCATCGTGTGGTCTGAAGCAGAAAACTACGACTTGGCTCTCAGCTTCCAGGAGAAAGTTGGCTGTGATGAAATATGGGAGAAAATCTGCCAGGTGTGATTTTAATAATCTATAATATGAACAACACTAGCTGTTAGTCTTAATCTTCATCATCCTTTCGTCGTTGAACAATCAGTCCTTTTTACTTTAAAACAAATAAACCAATTAAGCGTAATTGTTGTGACCAACATGTATTCATTTAAACTGGCACATTTGGCTTATTCCAGCTGGGAAACTTAAACTTATTTGTATGACAGACTTGTGATGCACTTAAAGGTGTGCCCCCAGTGTAAATATAGCGGTTCTATTTGAAGTAACTACAGAAGTAGTTATCTGACGCCTTCTTTCAGTGCCTTTATCGGACACAGGGGAATGCACTGCTAGCTGTCAAAGTCCTGAATGGGACATTATTTATCTCATGACATGAGGCCCATAGCATAATTTAAATACAATTACATGAAAAAATCATAGTAAAGGTTTTTTTCAATTAAAACATTGAAATCCTAAAACATAGTTCAACAAATACTCAGTCATTTAATGAATAAACCAAAGTTATTACAACATTACTACTATAATGAGCCAAGAATGTTTGTGTGTAACGCGCGTGACGTCACTCCACATGCCACACCCCCTCCCCTGTCATTAATATTCATGAGCGGGTGGATTTTACACTCGTGCAGAAGGTCGAGCGGAAATATTTTTTTTCTCGCAAATTCGCTTTAAGTTTGATGTTTCTTTATTGAAAGTGAATCGAACAAATAATTCTACACGGCAACAAAGTGGATTTGGTATCTTTATTTATTTATTCAGCACTTGAGACAAGGTAAGTCTAATTTATGCTTCTACATTATGGTAAAATAGACATTTCTCGGTGATTTTCCAGATATTGTATCGAATTCCAATTTATTTCAACCCCAGCAACCGAAAGCAGAAGAGAATAAAGTATCAGAGCAGTGAATCTGAACAAAGTGAAGGTCAATTATATACAGTGAAGTGTTTGATGACATACTTTTGTGCAAGATTCACTGCCATTAAATGTACACAAGAATATACTCTGCTCAATTTTTTTGTAAATATTACAGCTTCTGTCCTAGGATGGGCAAACAAGTTAGTAATATAATATTTGAAGTGATTAGCTATTCAAGGCCAGAGTTGAGGATGGTTTTGTATTTGGAAAGCGTGTTGGAGGTAGGTAGAAAGAAATGGTGACCATATATTTTAAAACGTTAAAAGCATCCTTTGTAACATGTATAATAGGAATGTCAGACAGAATCATTCGGTTTCTAATGGTTGACGAGCACACAAAGGCCCAAAATGTTAAGTACTCAACAAAAAACAGCACTATGGAAGTTCTAATAGATAAGCGTTAACACATGTATAGAATTGAGCAAGGTTGTTAAAATAACTTGGGGAAAAGATCCGATGACGGGAGAGGGAATTCTAGAGGTGGAGTAGTGCAAGAGAAGAAGCAGAAAGAGCATGGCGGTTAAACACGTATGGATGGGACACAACAGTCCTGGTAGACTAATTCCTGCCTGGCAGAATCAAGGAGTGAACCTCATGGGAACTGAAACCTTGGCAGTAGTGAATAATGAGGACAGCGAGTTTGTAGTCGTTCCTGTGCAGCCGCGTTGGCGTTAACGAAGGGACGTGTTTGCCGCCATGGCGATGACGCAGGTGCAGGGGAAGGACCCCTCGGTGGACATCACCCAGGACCTCCTGGACGAGTCGGAGGAGGAGCGCTACGACGACATGCCCGAGGCGTCGCCCGCGGTGGAGCTGCCCCCGTGCGAGCTGGGCCGGCTCGTCGACATCGCCGAGCTCGTGTCCACGTCGCTGTCCATGCCCGTGCGACGCGAGAAGCTCATGCTCGTGCTCGAGACGGAGGGCTACATCAAGAAGCTCTTGGAGCTCTTCCACATGTGTGAGGATCTGGAGAATACCGACGGCCTCCACCACCTATTCCAGATCTTCAAGGGCATATTTTTGCTCAACAGCACGGCCATCTTTGAGGTGATGCTGTCGGACAGCTGCGTGATGGACGTTGTTGGCTGCTTGGAGTACGACCCCTCGCTCCCGGAGCCCAAGAGGCACCGGGACTTTCTGAACACGACCGCCAGGTTCAAGGAGGTCATCCCCATCTGTGACCCCGAGCTGAAGCAAAAGATCCACCAGACGTACCGGGCGCAGTACATCCAGGACGTCATCCTGCCGACGCCGTCGCTCTTCGAGGAGAACCTCGTGTCCTGTCTCAGTTCGTACATTTTCTTCAACAAAGTGGACATTGTAAAGCTTCTCCAGGTTTGTGTTTCCACGTCTATGCCGTTATCGCACCGATGCGTTTCTTGTGACGCGACGCAATAGAGAGATCTATGCTTGTTATTGTTTCGCGATTGTTCTCCATTGTGTTTTGCGCCTAACATTTTAAATACAAAACCGCAATAGAACTTTTATTTCATGCCCAATGGTTTTTTGCCAGGAAGATGAAAAGTACCTTACAGAGCTGTTTGCACAGCTGACAGACGAGGCCACTGATGATGAGAAGAGGAGAGAGCTGGTAGGGTTATCTGGCCTTGTACTCTTTTATTTCCTTCACGATAAGTAAACATGTATAAATTACATGGAATGTACATTGCAATAACTGTATAAGGATATGTTGTTTGGTGTGCGTGGGGGGAAATTATATATTTGTGATTACCATGAACAAACAAACATTTATGTTACTCTTCTAACACCTTTTATCAATGCACCCAATTTCCGGGCTGACATATTTGACCTCGTGAAAATAATTAAGTTAAATTATTGGCGAGAGAGAGAAAAAAATACAATGGAAAAGAATAATGTACTGTGCATGTATTTTAAAGTAAATTTTCTCGTACCGTACATGGACGGAACGCTAGTCTCACTATTGACTTGGAGTCCCTTTGCAGTTGTATTAATTGACGAAAACGGGCATTGTTTGTTATTGCAGGTAAACTTTTTAAAAGAGTTTTGCGCGTTCTCGCAAACGCTTCAACCCCAGGATAGGGACAACTTCTTTAAGGCCCTGTCCTGTCTGGGCATCCTGCCAGCCCTGGAGGTGGTGTTGGTAAGCACTTTAACATTCTCCACACCTCACGCTTTCGTTACCAGCCCTGCACAATCACCCGAGCGACCATGTGCTATGAATAAGGACCGTTGTCCAAAACGTCGCCTATTAGAAATGTTTTTCCCCTTAATATATTTGTATACAGTGTTATGTACGAATGTGTTGCGATATTTGTTCAGAATCGGAATATTTATTTATCCTGGAGGAATCTGATGAGCTATTAAGCTCTTTTCACAGATGTCCAGTAGATTATTTTGTGCTATTGCACCGCTGCCAATACAATCTCGCCAAATAATGTGTTAAGTTTTGAAATGAACGAGAATCCCAACTATGGCCAAAGTCACCCAAGTTGTGCCCGATCAGATTTCAGAAACTAAGCAGGTTGAGCCTGGGAAACGATTTGATGGGTGACTACTATATTTTATGGCTGTTATTGCCTATAGATTTGCAGAGTTGCTTGTTAGACAGCAGAGGGCACTAAAGCAGCAAAATTAATTGTTTTTATTGTACCTTTATGCTACCAGGCCTTCACCAATCCATACTGACTATTGTGATCTGCATGGCATGTGGAGACACTCAACCAGCAGTGGATTAGCCACAGAGCTGTAAATGTTCGCGTGAGAATGAACGACAACACATTTTATTTTGCATGATAATTGTTGGAATTAATTATCCTGCTTCTAATTGGAATCTCGGCGGCAGCTTTCTCTTTGTATGTATGCTGAACTTCTTTCGCAGCTTGTTCTCTCTCGGGTACGTACGATGTGCACTCGTTCGCTAAATGTGTTTCCCCCCCACCCTCCCCCGTGCACGCGCTCGCTCGCTTCCCGCAGGGAATGGACGACGCCCAGGTGCGCAACGCCGCCACGGACATCTTCTCGTACATCGTGGAGTACAGCCCGTCGATGGTGCGCGAGTTCGTCGTCCAGGAGGCGCTACAGAACGACGATGTGAGCCTCCGCAAAGCTTCCCCCGGCATCGTGCTCCGGGGGGGCCACGGTGTCCATCGTTGTCCGTTGCTCGCAGCCCATTGTCGGTCTGCTGTCGCATGAAGGCCCTGCCTCCCCCACGCCGTGTCGGTCATCGGGGTTGTTTTGACCGTAATTCACCACGCGCTGGTCACTGTGAGTTGGTGAAGGAACGGTGGCGTGTGTGGGTGCCCAAGACCGGTTTAGGTGTCGTTTGCCACTGATGTTGGTCGTGGTCGGTATTTCGGTCGGCTGGTTACGTTTCTGGGTCCGTCGTGGTGCTCGGTCAACTTGTGAAGCGTTGTCCGTGCCTGAGCGATCCGTTTGTACAACCAAATCACTGAGCAGGTCGATTCTGAGCAACCGGTTGTAGAACTGCTCACAACTGGTTGCAGAGGCATCCACATATGAGCAATTCAGTTGCTTGTGACTTGATTTCTCAGGTGTGGACCTGTATTTATACCATGAAAGGTTTCCTGTTACCCTGTCTTAGCTGTGCGAGTTTTTTCAACTGCTGATGTAATAGAACATGTAAATTAATATTTGTTCCTACCAATATGTGAAACGATCACAATTTGTGAATACCACCTTATGTATCCCTTTCTTTAATTCCCTTTCTGTGGAGTTGACCACGTACCTAATGTGTTAAAATGCACTGCGCCTGTTGACAACATTTCCTCTTGCGTGTGCGATTGTGGCACGGCCGAGTGTGATAGCGCATTAGCCACTGACTGTGAAACATTGCGTTTTCCTTCGTGATAGCCACGCACTGTAAGAATGGCACGAATACTAAATAGACTAACACATGGGGTCGGCAATCTGCAGCTCCGGAGCCGCATGCGGCTCTGTAAGGACTACTTCGTGATGTCATTCACATGCATTGCGGCTCTTGAAATATTGAGTCTTTACCCAATTTGAACACAAAAAATGGCTCTTGTTATTTTGGTTACAGACCGCTGGACCAACATATATTCATTATGTTCGTTTTTTTTCAGGACATCCTGCTCATAAACCTGATCATTGAACAGATGATCTGCGACACAGACCCAGAGCTGGGCGGAGCGGTGCAGCTCGTGGCGCTGCTCAGGACGCTCATCGACCCCGAGAACATGCTCGCCACAGCAAACGTGCGTCGCCCGTGCCGTCAGCACCCCTCGAGATGCTCCGTTGCCGCAGCGGTTCGCGTGTGGAGGGCGTCCTTTCGTGCATGTTCTAACCGATGCTGGCGTGAACAGGGAGGGTGCGACGCATGTCGAAGGGGACACGCGATGTGTGAGACCGCACGCCCGTTGCCCTCGACTTTGGCTTAGGTTTTGTGATTCGCTTTTGGTGCCGTTGATGGTGGTGGGCGGAGGGGGTGATGATGGTAATTGTGGTCATGGTGTCGGCGGTGCTGGTGGTGGCGATAGTGATGGATGTGGTCCTGGTGATTGTGGTGGTGGTTGCCAAAACGCAGCAAGTTGGCACAGTGGGGAGCATAGGTGGTGCATTTGCCAGTGTTTTCAGTCCATATACTGGGGTCTGTTCCGTGACCTCCTGCCAGAGAGCCTTCTACACTTCATGTGGCTTGAAAAGTGCACCTAGCCTGGCACAGGTGTTGTGACATCACAACTAGTTAGTGATGAATGGCAGCTCTTGATGGTGGGTTGCTGGGTTTACAGTGTATCAGAAGGTGCACCAACCAACCATAAATGATTATCTGGATGTGGCGTGTGAACATAACTACTGCGGATACAAAGGTGGTCGGGCATGGTGCTGACCACACCAACCCCCTCTTGTGTCGTGCCAGCCTTAATAGGTGTATGCCAACAGGACCAGGCATTAACTGTCTATGTTGGGGGGGGCACTTGTATTTAATAGCGTTTGGTGGTGGCTTCTGCGAGGACCAAGGTTTGACGGAGGGAATTATTTTGTTTCTCCAGAAAACCGAGAAAACGGAGTTTCTGAGCTTCTTCTACAAACACTGCATGCACGTGCTCACCGCGCCCCTCCTGGCAAACACTGCCGAGGACAAGCCGGGGAAAGGTCAGGAGCGCTGGACACCCCTCGGCAAAGACAACACAATACAACTTGTATTCACGTAGCATCTAAATGCAACCGCATCTGAAGGTGCTTTAAAACGTTGTGCTGTAGCTCATTAAAAAACATTTTTTATAGTTCATTTCCCATGGTACTGGCAGTGGAGGTCTAATGATGAAGTTAATTTCCCGTTGAGTCATTTTTTTAAACGGTTGCTTGTCACAAGCCCACAGGCCTACAACGTTAGAACGGCGAGCGATGAATGGCACCGTAGAAGTTGTAATGGTAAGAGTGTAACACGTGTCTTGAGTTGAGCAAGGGCATAAGAGCTTGGGAAAAGAGAGACGATGACAGGAGAGAGGCAATTCTGAAGTGGAGCAGTGCGGGGGAAGAAGCAGACAGAGAGAGGACTTGTGACCCGTGGTGAGTGTGGGTGGGTGGGCGAGTGGGTGAGTGATGTGTGAGCTGTCATGTGATGACGTGAAGCGGGTAGGCCGAGTTCACAACGTAGGTGGAGGGATGAATGAGGACACGATGGCGATGTCATCAGCAAATAAGGATGGTGACTGGTGTCACAATACAACCGTGCATTGCGACGATTAGACTTGTGGCAATGTTCCCTGCACAATGATTAGACGAATCGTAACTCCACTCGGAAATTAACTCTTTATTTTCATATGTTCCATCTGTCTTAATTCATTGGGACACGTTCATTTAACTTAAGGACAATATTCGTAGAAAACGTACATAAATCATACACCGCATTTCAAGCAGAATTAATGTGATATCGGGGTAAGAAGGAATTTAAATATTTTTTATTCTACACGCCTATCGAGTGTGCTCTTGTTAATGATTAAATACATATGTAAATACTTGTCAGTGACCCGGATGGTTTGGTGGTCACTGAGTTCACCACTGAGTTCCTGGGTTAAAATCATGAACTCAACCGACCGTGGTTAGACCAGGCTCTCGGTTGTAGCGAATTGACAGGCGCCGGTAACTGAATGTCAATTTGACAGTCACGTGACGAACATGACTGTGTGGCGGGCACGGTGTGGGGGAAAGTGCTGCCCCAATAAGTGTGTGGACCAGAGATCACTTGAAGGGGACTCGGTGGTGGTACTCCTGCGATATCCACTTCTGTGGGGCCATTTTATAGCACAAAGGGTTGCACTGTTTTGCGAGAGATTCGACTCCTACGCTGGCAACATGTGAAGTTAATTGTGCGTGATGAAGTGCTTGGGGATTTATGGACGTTTAAGTACAAATGTGACCTTCAAGTTCAAAAAGTGTCCAAATCAATGAGATGGAGCGCACAACCGAAAATAAATAGTTCATTTCTGAATCGACACGACACCGCTAACACAATCGGGTACGCGCCGTCGATCGGCAGGTTGCCGAGTGTGGTGGGGTAAAATGTGGGTACTGAAGACACATTCCGGATGCAATTGTGGGGGGGGGGAGGAAAACAACTTTCGCTAAAACACGTTGCTGAGCCTGCCTCGGCTGTCCCCTTGCTCCGCACTAAGTGAGAAATTCCTCCCTGCAGACGACTTCCAGACGGCGCAGCTGCTGTCGCTCACGCTGGAGCTGCTCACGTTCTGCGTGGAGCACCACACGTACCACATCAAGAACTACATCATGAACAAGGACCTGCTGCGCAGGGTGCTGGTGCTCATGAACTCGAGGCACTCCTTCCTTGCTCTCTGTACGTGTGCCCGGCGGTAACAAAAAAACAAACACATTCCTGCAGAGGGAGCTGGTAGGAACGTTGGGTTGCTCGGTCAATGGCCAGGGTCAACGGCGGCGTGGTGTATTCCGCAAATATCCCCGACTGAAGGCAGGTACAAGCCGGCGTGAGTAGCTTAAACGTTGAGTTTTATAAGGGCACCATGGGGTGACCAGCCCCTCCCCTCCCACCCCCCACCCAGCCCCTCCCCACCCTCCCCTCCCCACCTAGCCCCACCCTCCCCACCCAGCCCCTTCCCACCCAGCCCCTCCCTGCGCGACGGACGGATGGACACAATAATCCCCTGTGGGCTGGTGTAACCAGGAGGTTCCTACCAGTATAACGATCGTTTCACCCACACGGGATACAAATGGTGAAATAAATCAACTGTGTCGATGCTTTGGCCCTTGCTGCGGCGTGCAGCCGCCTGTTGCGTAATCGTTTGGCCGCCATTCGATACGAAGGAATTTGAAATTGAAAGCGTTGGAATGCAGTTCAAATAATCGCAACAAGCGCGGCTCTCATTGCGCGTTTATTTTCGTCGTGCTCTGTTGCAGTTTTTATTTAGTGGTTTCATTTCGATGGTTTTTTTTTTGTTAAAGGGGCCACCGGGCTAGGTTTTGTTTTCTCTTGAGAAGGATGTCTGTCCCATCTGTTTATCTGAGGACGCTTTCCACGTCACGAAAACTACAAAATCCCCGAACCCAATCGTAACGAAATACCTACATTTCCTTTTTGGTACGAACGACAACAAGATACTTAGAAAAAAACTAAAAGTATAAAAAAAAGACTAAAAACCCTGAATCGGTGCAATTGGTGTGGGTGCGTGCGTTAGGACACTCGGCCGTGTGGGTGTGCGAGGACAGGTTAAATGTGTGCGTCGACATCTCTTCGTTACCCGTGCCACACGTTTGTATATACAACCAAGCGGAGGCCCCACTGAGTCTCCCGGCTTGCTGACTTCTTGAGGAATCTGTCAAAAAGCTCAACACATCGGTCAATAACGCAGCGACCTAATCGTCGACATTTCGTGCAGTGGCCCTTTCGTCGTAGCCCATGTGTTTATGTGCTATGAAGAAGGTCGAATGTCCGAAACGTCGCCTCTTATAAACCTTTCCTTGTAAGGCCACAGTGTCATTGATGAATGTGAGTTTTGTAGTTAATGTTTGTGCTTGTGCACCACTGACAAAGGCGCATTGCCAAATAACTTAATATCTGCCAGGCGTACTGTGTGCGTGCTCATTTTCCAGAACGTTCTGGCACTGTTGATCCCTTCGGTGAATTCACGCAACCCCCTTAAGATGAGCTTGTGTTGCTGTCGTGCCGTGTACAGGCAGAGATGGACAAAATGCATTCAAAAGACTAAATAGTGGAGTAATGAAATTCAAATACAAATTACCATTCACTTTGACGTGTGTCATTTAGATATCAGTTACAAATTACAATAATATTGCATATTTAAATGACATGTCCTTCTATTTGTACTTGACATTCACCCTGATTTATTTTTGAATTCTCACCTGGTGAAACAAAATTAACGTGACCTTGTACGTGTGACCTTGTACTTGAACACTGCCCATAACATGCAGGCGCGCTGAGGTTCATGAGGAGGATAGTGGGCATGAAGGACGAGCTGTACAATCGCTACATCATCAAGGGCAACCTCTTCGACCCGGTCGTCCGGGCCTTTCTGAACAACGGCTCGCGCTACAACCTCCTTAACTCGGCAGTGATTGAGCTGTTCGACTTCATCAGGACGGTGGGTGACTTCGACACAGTGAGTCCCGCGATTCTGTCGATGAAACGCTCCACCCTTCCCTCGGCCCTGGCGCTTAGGATTTGGTAACTCGCCCATGGGTTAGCCTCCCAACGTAGTCCCATGGCTTTTCAGATCGCCGCCTTTTAAGGACTTCCGACGTCGAGGCTCTGTTCGTGGGGTGACCGGGCTTTTGTGAGCGCAGCTCCTAGAGTGCGGATGAACAATTTGACTTTGGTAATCGGGCAATCCAGGCTTATTTAAATCTGTCTTGAAAACTTGTCTTTAAATTGGCCTAAAGCTCACGAGTTCTGATCATTTGCCCTGCTTCTATTTTATTTTATGATTTTCACGCAAGGCATTTTTGGATCTACGGTTGACATGCGCCATACAAATTTAAGTAATTACAATTATTAAGGTAATATCGGCAATTAATTAAACACGATGATGAATGCTCGTTTCGGAAGCGTCACGGGATCCGCATGCACGCGCGTGGATGTTGCCATCTTCGTTTATTCCGGCAGGAGGACATGAAGCCTCTCATAATGCACATAGTGGAGAACTTCTACAAAGGCTTCGAGGACATCGATTACGTGAACACCTTCAAGGGACTCAAGATGCGCTACGAACAGGAGAGGGATCGAATGGAGACGCCCAAGGCGGACAGGTGAGCGAGACCCACGTCGCCAACGTCGCGACACCTCCGCGGTCAGTGGTGCGGTTGGCCCAGCGGCAGCGTGTTCGTCGCTCGTCGTTGCACAGTTACGCGGCTGGAATCTGGCATCCGCCCTAACTCTTACTGCGGCGGTATTGTCCGTGAAAATATTACGGGCGGGGGGGGGGTGGCGGTCAAAGATCCCCCGGCGTCATTCGCACGAGTAAGGCCATCGTGTGGTGGCGTCGTCGTTCACATTTGTGTCGAATTACTAAAATTACCCCGCAAATTACTCAATTGGGATTATGCACAGCTGTCATCGCCTACTGGCAGTAGGGGGCGATGTTGAAGAGCGAGAACACCTCCAGAGGCACGAGGAACCAGACGAGCAGGAAGTGCAGCAGCCAGGTCGTCGTGAGGTGGCACCAACAAATGCCCAAGCTCTGCGATCCTCTATATATTAAGGTGTTGTCAGACAATTAATATGTGTTTACATGTAGCATGAAACTGGAGCGCCCGGAGAAAACCCACGCGCCCCTGGGGGCAGCACTCTTTCCCATCCAGAGGGAGCAAGTGTAGCATATTTTTGCGGTACCTCCTTTTACTGGCAAGTCGGGGTGCGGCGCCTCCTGGACACCCGCCGGCAGGAAATTTTGCAATGTGTGATCCACCAACCTTCCTCCACAGTGCTGGATTAGAGCCCACGTGCATAGCCAGCACAGCCCGACGAGCAAGAACGACCAGCACGATGAGTTGTGTCCGTAGGAGAGAGGGAAATTGTGTGTTTCCGGTGTTGCCCAGCACAACGCCGCTTCTGCGCAACCACCGGTTCCGGAGAGACATGCGTACCCTGGAGGAGGAAGAGGAGATCTGGTTTGACGACGAAGACGAGGTGGAGGACGAGGAAGCGGTCGTTCCTCCGTCGGAGAAGACCAAGAGCGAGGAGGACTTCATCGACCACCTCGGGAAGTTCATCGAGAGGAAAAAAGGTAAACCTCCGTGCACCAACTGCATTTACACCACAGAAGTTACTCTTTGGTTCTTTCGGTAAAGTCACGTATAAAGAGAAAATAATAAATTAAATACTAGCATAAGACGTTTCGATTGCAACACAAGCAATCATCATCAGGTATAAATGAAATAGAAACACAAATCTAGTATACTTAGAAATGTAATACAACAGATTTGTGTTTATATTTCATTTATACCTGATGATGATTGCTTGTGTTGCAATTGAAACGTCGTATGCTAGTATTTAATTTATTTTTTTATCTTTATACGTGACTTTACCGAAAGAACCAAAGAGTAATTCCTGCAGTCACTAAAGCTCCAAATTAAGTATGAACCACAGAAGTTCACAATCAGAATATGTATTTCTAACTAAGGAATCTGATGAGCTCTTAAGCTATTTTTTTTCACGGATGTCCTTGTGTGGTACACGTGAGCTTTGTACACGAAGATTAAAGGCTCGAGCTCGTATCCTGTTCATATTCTTGGGGAAGGATCTGTTAGCAAGCACCTTTTTAAGGTTGGATTTACACAAAGGCGATCAGTGGGTTCGTTTACTAGAATTGTACCAATATTTTCCCGCTAGTACTACATTGACTGGGGGAATTATTGCGCATTCGTTAGCACACTACACAATGAACCTAGTGATCCAAGTTTGATTCCCGAACACGACAATATCAGGATCGAGTGATGTCTGAACTGTTCCCGAACAGCAACATCACTAGACATGTGTAGTGGGTTCTAAATAGGCACACACCGAGTCTTGGAGGCAACACGTTTATTTACTAACACAACTCGAACCGGCTAACATAACGGATAACTGCGCAACGCTCCAAGCTTAACTATGTACATCACGGGTTAACTATGTACATTACGGGTTAACTATGTACATTACGGGTTAACTACATAGTTTGGTGGCCAACGCTCCTAACCACCGAACCACTTGAACGGGATCACTATATGGTTGGACCAGGACAGCAGACACGCTGCCTGACCCTCGTGCGCGAAGACCGAAGAGCGAGGATCGAAGAAGGCGGCTTCATTCCCGGGTCAAACAGCCCAGCTCCCTCTCGGGACTGGGATTATATCCGCTGTGGCGTGACCGGGGTCTGCCCCTGGCCACGCCCCCTTCTAGATCCTTCTTGGAGGCTCTCGGTCCATACCACGTGGCCCCCTCACCCCCTTCTGGGCGGTCCCCGTGCCCCCTCGTCCGGTCACGTGCTCTCGCGGGTTCACGCAGGCTGTCATGTCCTGACCCGACCTCCGTGACACCCCGACCCTGCCCTCTAGTGAGCCCCTGAAATGCAGTACACACACTGGTGCCATAGAACGGCACCCCGCGTACAATACCTCGATACTGTCACTACACTGTAATGATACCATTTATGTCGCTACACATGTACTGACCGGCTTGGTGAAATATGGTGATTGAACACCCACAACCGACGTGCCATGTACAGTTTGTTAAAGGCTACATGGGGTGACCTTTACCTTTTCTGCCGCGAGCAGCCAAGGACAATGAGGACACGGATCTGCTCGCCAAACCTTCCGTCGCGCCGGCAGCTCTGGGCACGAAGCCCGAGTCGCCGGTGCTAAAGCTGTCGCTGTCCGTGAACGCCGCCCCCTCGGCCGGTCTGGGCCCAAGCCTGGGCCTGAGCTTGTGTCCTAGTGCCAGTGGCGCTGGTGGCAGCGCTGGTGTGGGCGGCAGCAGCGGGGTCACGACGGCGCTCTGCTCCGAGAAGCCGCTGTCCCCGCTGGGCGGCTCCAGCAGCGGCACCGTCGGAGGAGGGGGGGCACTGTCACCCACGGCGCCGCTCAGCCCAGCCTCTCCCGGCGCCGTCTCTAGCAGCGTCGCCACCATCTCCATCAGCGCCAAGGTGCGGTGAGCTGTGGCCACTTGGAGCTCGGAGGTCAGGGATGCTGAGCTGGTACCGCCAAGATCTTGGGTTCGAACGCATCGTTTCTTGTAGTACCCTGTGCTTAAAGCGGGTCTCGGCCCCGTCACGGATGATTGACATACAGACCCACAGACTTACACAGTGACCCGTAGGCTCGCACAGAGATACGTAGACTCGCACAGACCCAAAACTCGCATAGAGAGCCAATGTCAGGCTTAGAGACCCATAGGCTCGCACAGTTGTGATTAAACAGGGTTCTTTATCAGATTTGCACAGTGGCCTATAGATTAACGTATAAGGGGTGTGCATTGTTTTGTGTGCAGTACAACGTCGCGCATCCGACTCGCTGGGGCCTGCGTTATATGTAAATGTGTGACGAGGTCAGATATGTGAACATTTGTAGAAAATTATAAATATACACCACGCACAAATATGACACAAATACTCAGGCAGTTAATTGGTCAGGGTGGATATATGACGGTGGGATATGCGACATTGATGTGGAGTGCATAAGAATAGACTTTTGTCATATCAACCCAGCAGCAGATAAAAACCATTAACGTAACGAAACTGCGTCGCATGTAAGCCAATCGCCGTGTCTCCGTTGTGCAGCGCGGCCTTGTGGGGCTGGTGGATTACCCCGACGACGAGGACGACGAAGAGGAGGAGGAGGACGACGACGAGGAGGAAGTGAACGAGACGCCGCCGACTAAGAGAGCGCGCCTGGAGTCGTAGACGTGGCTGCCACCCACAAACTCTCCCGTGGGGGCAGGGGGGTGGTGGGGGCCTGGCGGGGGGGTGGCGACCGTCGCAGATGCGGGGGGGCGCCTTCGCAAGGGCCGCCTGCCCGCCCCCCGCTCTCGGACACGACGGCCGAGCGCGGTGCCGGTGCGCCCGCCACAATCTATTGCCAAGTGTCCCCCGCGGGGATTGTTTCACAGCCGTCCGTCCACCAAGCCAGCCAGAGGTTTCGCCGTTCCTGGTCTTGTCCTAATTGTCGTTGTCGTCGTCGTTTTTTTCCCCCCTCCTCCTCCGACTGGCGTGAACGTCCGCGTGACGCCGCTGCTTGGCCCGGGTTACGAATTCCAGCCGCAGGCCCCGCCTGGCGGCGCTGCTTGCTGCCGCTGGCGGGCCGCGTGCCAAGACGTTCAGCGGTGGGGGGCGGTGGCGGTGGGCAGCTGAGGCTCGTCGCTGTTACGGCCGCCTTAGAGCCTCACCGTTCCGCGGTTCTCAAAACTCAGGGGATTAATGTGCAGCATCGTCGACGGCTTCACATTCGACAGACCAGCCTGATAGCTGCGTAGCCTTTCCCTGATTGAACACGCAGACAGCCTTCCGCTGTCATGACTCTCAGACCGTGCGGAACGGTGTTCCGTGTTTTCAGAATCTGATGGGACGATCAGAGTAAACTTTTGCTTCAACCAACAAACAAAGGGGTTTGCTCTAACCCCCTCGTGAAGGATGTTTTTTTTATCGCTCATGGCCCAAAAACTTGAAGCGATAACGAGTTTGAATGTTTTGTGGTCGTACAGGCAAGACCAAGATGTGTGTGCTTCGGTGGATGTGCGAGCGTGTTGTGGTTTGTTTTTAAAAGGCTTGACGTTCACTGCTCTCACAGCCTTGGTAATTGCTGTGGCAATAACTGATTTATAGGCAAGCACACTTTAGGCTACCTCTGAATTTTTTTTTAATCTTTTAAGTGGTGGCCATCATAAAAGGGTTATTTTCCACACGTAAAAAAAGCGGAATGTGTAGAAATGTAGTGTAGTAGCACGTGTAAGGCTCATATTTGAGGGTTAAATGATTTCTGTTTTTGTAAAACCTACTTCGAATCAACTTATTGCAACAGCTTTTATCTACACTTTGAGCTGAGCGATTGTGAGCGTCCCCCCGACTCTTGAACGCCATCGGCAAATTAGAGAGCGAGAGAAGAGACAGAGTGAGACGAGCGAGAGAAGAGCTGTGGTGGGGGAGAGATGTCCGAACAGCATTGTCTCGCCGTGAGCGTTGGCCGGGAAATACCCAGCCCCATGAGAAAAGAGGCTTTTTGAGTGTCTTTGCCTGAAGAAAGTTAAGCTGGAAAAATGCCATAAATAAAAAGCGAGAGAGAGAGAGAGAGAGAAAGCGAGAGAAACAAAACTCGTCATAATATTTGGCGTGGTCTCTACGTGCAAACAACTTGCATGGGTTTTGGCGGAGTTATAAGCTGAGATGGGGGGCATCGTTTGCCCTGTTATGAAATGTGGAAACTTGGGGGACCACGTATGTCCGTCCACAACTTGGATGGCATTCACTCTTGTCACTTTTCCATCGGTGTAAAGTTTCATTTGTTCACATTTATTAATGACACAGTTTGTCTTGTTGCCGTACTATGCCTTGTTATTTTGTTACGTTTAAATGAGTTAATCGGCGCCGTTAAGATTCTGGTCTGCGTAACGTGTATTCATTGCACAGAAGCAATATGACACATTTGACGTGGGTCGACTGAGAAAATATTGAACCTCTTCGGCAACCGCGCGAGAGGCCAGATTATAGCTATTGAAACCATAGCTCGTCACGTGTTTTTAAAGGGAGGGGGAAACACCGTATAATTGAACAGTGTTACAGAAACAAAAGTTGTATAAGTAAAACCCATATGTTTATTATTGGCTTGGATGTCTCATTAAATATTGTGTCATCCGGGGCTTAATTTCTCACTGAATATTTTCCGGGTCGCTGGTAGACGACCTGGCAGTAGGTGGCACGTGACCAGTAGTCGCAGCCCCGACGAGAGGTAACACTGGATATTTGACGCGTAGGGTTTTTGCAGCCCCTCGTAATCCCAAACGTGGTCTTATTGGGTTCGGCTGCACGTTTTGAGCCCTTTCGTTTGTCCACATTTCGGCGCGAACTACTTAACGGGCACCTTCAGGAGCTGAAGTGAAGGACTCTCACCTTGATATCTCCACCCTGATTGCACGTTGTCCGAGTTTATGATTGCTTGTTTGTCCCTGGGCGTGTCCAGGAATTCTCCACGCTTCCCCTGGGAATGTCTGCGTTGTCCGAAACTTGCCAGGGGAACCGCGCGTGCGCAAGTCGGCGTGTCTGGCAACGTTCTCCAACGGAACGGCCGCTTTCAAGCGGCACTCCCCTGCTATCCGCCCTCCCCTGTTTGAGATGAATGTGGGACTCATTATCTCGGCGCCCGAAAGCCCTGGCAAGAAGAAATGCTCAACAGTTGGCGAACCACGCACGGGCTTACTACTGGGTGAGATGTCGTGCGTGGCGAATATATTTGTGGTTGCGAGGAGCCCGTACGAACCTGGCCGAAATTAAGCCCTGGCCTCATCGTAGTCTTTCGCAAAGCAGGACAAGATTGTATTTGCGTGAGCGTGTGCGGGATGACCCTCTGCGTTTCCGTTGCGTGCGGCTCGCGTCCCCTCGATGGTGTGCGGCATGCTCCCCCATGGCACGTGCTCTGTGTTGGTCATAGGTGACGATGCTCTCATCAGGGGGGGGGACGCGGCGCGCGCGCAGGGCTTGTGGGTAAATCGCTTCACACTTGTCCCCTAACGCTTGTCGATGGCCATGCAAATCAATAACGCCAGTTATTTAAGTCTGACGTGACACTGTGATATGACAGCTTCTGCCTTGTTTTTTGACGTTGCGTTTAAAATCCATAGAAGGGTAATTTCTGCCCATGTTCGGTGGGGGAAAAAACAGCCAATTTGTTGCTATTCAGCCACCAAAGGAAATTCTGCAATGTCCTCTCCGCCGATACATTAATCGTGCCCTGTGGTCTCGTGTTTCATCCGGTTTATAAAATTTTCTGATTCCGTTATTGCATTTGAAGGAACAATTTATTTTTGCTTTCCTACTCCATTGATCACCAAACTGACTCGAGCCGTCAGGAAGAGAACATTTCTCGCGCCCTTCACCAAACACATCGTCGTCACGTGCCCTCTTGCCCCGAGATCGGCACAGCCACTGCCGCCCACGATTGCCTCGTGACGTCTCTCCATCGTGGCACCCTCGTGCACGACGTCACTGACTCAACTCAATTCAAAGGATTCACCGCGTCGGCGGCTTGGAGGCGGGGTAGATCGCCTGGGTTCTGAAATCGGCTTCCACCCCACTCTGAGCAGTTCCTAGCATTAGCCATGCGTCTCTGGACGTGGTCCACCGATGACGGACCCGTTGATAAGAGCGAAAAGTATCTGTCTCTGATGCCGTGGATTACCCATAATGCCTTTCTTGGAGGCCTGTGTCGGCTGAAAATTGACCGTGAATTTATGTTCACGCACGTGATTTTATTATAAAGATTCTTAGTTTTGTTTGTAGTCATTAAAACTTTATATTTTATGTCGGTATTGGGCCAGTGGTCAGTTGCAACATTACCTCTTGTGTTCCCTTGGTCAATCGAAGCAGTGCACGTCCGGGTGCAATATAGTCGCCCGATTTTACTGCGTGTTCGACGTTTCGTGCTGGGAGCATCTTCACAAACTGAATCGGTTCAGTTGCAGAGAACTGAATTCGGTTCATGAAGGAGCTCCCAGCACGTGGAGCGAAACGTCGGACACGGTGCCGGCCACCACACGGTACGACCCTGAAAACGTGTCGGGAGAGCAATGTACTGGTTACGGCACAACCGCGGTTAACGTGCAGAATGAATAGGAAGTCACTCGAGGTGTTTGATGCAAACGACCACAAATTCGCGTGACGGTATAAACGGAGAGCGACATCGCTCTGGGCGAGTCGCACCAGCGGGTGGTGATGGAGACAAGGTGGCTTCCTTTTCACCAAAAGTCGAATTAAAAGCAGCATTGGCCATCGGCACATGATTTGGGGGGCCCGGTGGAAATTTGGGCTGCTGCGCGCTGGAATGAAACACGAACAGATGTGATCATCTGGAAGCGAGACTGCTCGCCCTGTCCTCTGCCTGGGGTGCCGAGTTGTTGGGGGTGGTCAGGGAGACCTCGGACTAGGAAGAGGGGACCCCCCCAAAAAGCAAGCAGCTCTTCTCTTGTCGCTGCACATCTAAGGTTGTATGTCCCAGGCTGCTGGAATTTGATCTCGCTGGTCTCTTGATGAGATGAAAACAACTTGAAATTGGTAAGGTGGTGTCCTTGCGGGCTCGCGCCTGTATTCCGCTCGGGAGCTCTTGACTGAAATTGTAAATCTTTTAGCCGCATCCCAAAGCTTGAAGCATCCTTTGTAAACTTTTTCTACGACCAAATCACCCAGAACCGCGCTCGATCTCGGAGGCCTAAGCAGGGTTTGAGCCTGGCTATTACTTGCCTGGTAATATCATGTTCGCTTACAGGCTTGGGTCACACAGTGGCCAGGAGATGGTAGTCCAGCAATGGATTCGTGAATCGATCTGTACGCATCTTTGGGTCCATCTTCGGCCACGTGCGAGTTCTCCAGGTCCTCTGGTTTCCTCTCACGTGAAGCCAAACACTGGGTGATGGAATTGACCAAACGCGCAACCTTCGCCTGACCCTTCTGGACGAGTGGTGGATCTGCCGAGTGTGCAGGCTGTGCAACTGCACCGATGCCCCATAAACAGGAGGGGAGGCTATATGGCACCGGGCAATGAAGAGTGAGGGAAGTGGGATGAGGTGGGGGGGGGCTCCCATTGTTTGATTATTTGCACCAGGGCCCATGCCAAACAGACTGCGCCACTGCTACAGAGTTTTTGAGTTTTGAAGAGGCTTTCCTGGGTATCGGGCATTACTATGATTCACAAGTCGATCGGTAGGTCGCGTGTGGTGGCATAACATTTGTAAACTCTCCGCCTGTCCTATCAGAGACCTTTCTGCCAGCAATGGCGTAAGTCATTACAGGACTGCGGCTATACCGTTGAGTTTGGTTATTGTTGTCATAATCATCACTAGCCTGGGTGTGTTATCTACGGTATAAGAGACGTCATGTTTGTATGGGTTTCTTATTCCTTTACAATGGGGGGTGGGGGGGGGGGTCGTGTCGCGCTCACTCAACCTGCCTGCGTGGTGTTTACAGTTTTGTATATTGCCAATATCGTCCTCGAGTTTCGGGGGGGGGGGGGGGCTAGGTTGGGAGATCTATTTCTTTACTGTCGAGCTAGTTTATGAATAAGAACCATTTATGTTCCAGTGTGTGGAGGGAGGGGAGTGGGGGGGGGGCGATGGAAATTAACAAAGACGAATATTGTCATTTATTGATCATGGTAGTTCAATATTTGTTGTGATTTAAAGGTTTCTCAAGTTAGACAATAAAGCTGTGGCCCATGTAGGATTGCCGGCTGGCAGGTGTGTGCGTGTCATCTCTCTCTCAGTCCATCGCTCCTCTCAAAAGTATCCGTGCTTCAGACGCGAGGTCCTGATCACAGAACCCCCGTTCATCGATTTCAGCCTCAGCGGTTTTCAACCCGTGGGGTCGTTCCCCCACCTCCCTCCTCCTTCCCTAGAGAAGTGTGAATGGAAATCCTTTCAGCCCCCCCCCCCCAGGCCGCGGCATGGATACCGTGCAGGGGACAGCGTTACGCTGCGGCGACATAACACACTTGATTGACTACGCAACGTGAAGGACGTGGCTTGCTCACGCCGGTAAAACAACGTGAAACACGCGACTCGCTAATTCGGCACTCCGCCGGGCGTCTGAAGCCAAGCAAAGGGTTACGCCTGGCCACTGTAGTCGAGTCCCTGCTTCGTGTCGCTTACCTGCGAGCACCCACAGAGCGGGTTTTTTTGGTCCTCGTGATTGCCAATCGCGTTTTTCCCGACCCGCACCAGTACGACGTTCGCTTCTGCAGAAGTGACGTCCGCACGGCGGAGTTTCGATCCACGTAACAACACGCAGGCGTTCAGAGGTCTTAGAACAAGAGAAGCTCCGTTGCTCGTCGGCAATAGGCATCGTCAACGTAGACACATTGTGAAGGCATCGTTAACAGAGACATTGTCAACAGAGACATTGTGAAGACAGATTGTCAATAGATTTGTCAAGAGACAAATCTATTGACAACAGCGACAGTCAATATACGCAGATTGCTAAGACACATTGACAACAGATACATTATCGACAGTCGCAATGGTCAATAGACATCGACAACAGATAAAGACAGCCAATAGATTGTCAATAGGCTGAACACGTGCGTCAACAACGCGGAGGCCTTTCAAGTAAATGTTTCAGGGATGACGTTTTGGGCAGTGACGTTAGCGTCTCCGTAGCACATACAATAGGCCGGAGGTTGGGTGGCTCATAAAAGTTTTGAGACTACACTTGATACCATTGTGCCGGATTAATTGTTTTTACTTTTAAAGAACGCGGGCTGATTAACAGCTACAAAATGACTTAGTGTTGCATCCCTGGGCTCGATTCTTATTTCAACAGTGTCAGCCTTGAGTGGTAGTGGTGACAATGGAGACAAGATATATGATTCATATTACTATTATGATTCGGGTTAACGATATTTACAACAAAAAACCGAGCTCACACATCTTGATAAAAAAATGTTTACCCTTTTATCTGGCAACACAACTGACAACTTTTTTACAAAGAGTCATATTTGCATTGACCACAATACCTGCGGTCGGAATACGAAAAAAAAACACAACTCTGATAATGTATGCACTCTCCTTTAAATTGATTGGCCCACACCCGAGACAGCTTTTCTTAGAGCCAAGTCTTACATGGTGTTGGACCAGATGACGCCAAAAGGCACACACCTCAAAGACAATGCACCATCAGAGTATGAGAGCTCGGGGTAAGCATTTACACACCATTGGAACCTCCTTTGCCAGTCGCAAAATAAGATAATTGGTTTTTTTTAACCCTTTTATCTGGCAACAAAACTGACAACTTTTTTTACAAGAAGTCATGTTTGCATTGACCACAATACCTGTGGTCGGAATGCACTTTTTAAATCATATTTTGCTACTGGCAAAGGAGGTTCCAATGGTGCTCACACATCTTGTAAATGAAATGTTACCATTCTGGTTTAAGTGAACTTGACCAGCATTGTATAATTTGATGAGACAAGTCGGTGTCATACCTGCCGACCAGGCCCTTGAGACAAAAGGCAGGGAGACTGAACGTCGCGATTCATGCAGATGCCGACCTCGCTACAGACTTAACACGCGGGGAGGGGCAGATGGTCGGGGGGGCGGTGTGGGGGGGGGGGGATGGTGTTGGGGGGAGGATGGTTGGGGGGGAGGATGGTGGTGGGGGAGGATGGTGGGGGAGGGACGGTGTGGGGGGGAGGATGGTGGGGAGGGGAGGATGGTGGGGGTGGAGGAAGGGGGGGACGGTGGGGGGGGGACGGTGTGGGGGGGAGAATGGTGTGGGGAGGATGGTGGGGGGGAGGATGGTGGGGGTGGAGGATGGTGGGGGTGGAGGAAGGGGGGGACGGTGGGGGGGACGGTGTGGGGGGGAGGATGGTGGGGGGAGGATGGAGGGGAGGGACGGTCTGGGGGGGATGATGGTGGGGGGAGGATGGCGGGGGGGGGATGGTGGGGGGGATGGTGGGGGGAGGATGGTGGGGAGGGACGGTGTGGGGGGGAGAATGGGGAGGATGGTGTGGGGGGAGGATGGTGTGGGGGGGGGAGGATGGTGTGGGGGGGGGAGGATGGTGGGGGGTGCTCAAAATGTTGCAGAGCCAGTTGAGCCGTTCAATGCATCACGATTGTATCCACTGCTAGACCGCCACGTACGTCGACTCAGCCCTAAATAAGTACCCGGCACTGTGCTGTGTGAGGCTCTCCCGTGGCCGGCAGACCTCAACGTTGGCACATTTTGCCGTCACCCGCGACAATAGCCTAGCGCCGGGAAGACGACGGCGTTTGTGCGTCTTTCGTCCTCTCT